CAAGGATCTGCTATAGTTATATGTTCATTAAAAAGGACGCATTGAACAGGATACACAGATGGACCGCTTGAACCTGAAAAGGCACCTGATCTCATCACCCAAGACAAACAGCATGCAAAACCCAGTGACTGAGTCCTGGCTGGTTCAGGAGATTTGGAACAGGATGTGGGGACTTTCACCCCTAGCTCAACACTGTGGGCTCTTAATTTCCAAGGATGTTGCAACACCTCCCCACAGAAGTGCTCATATGTCCACGGCAAAGTGACATACTCATGGTTGTGCAATGTGCAACTTGTGCTGACCAAATCAGTAGAGTCATGGAGCGGGATGGCATAGCTCCTGACACCTTAGGGGAGCTGTGCTGCACGAAGGAGATCAGCCTGAGGTTCACCCCTTTGAATAGTGTTCTGGAAAAGCACAGAGGAGCTGGCAATGTGGCTAACCCTTCAGAATGATCTTTCCCTTTTTCCTGGGGAAATCTCCAGGAAAAAATATACATGGAGGAGGTAAGCAAATGGGCTTCTAGGAAATGAAAGTGTAATTTTGTAAATTGGTGAATTGCATATTTCAACTAGTTTAAAAATTAATTTATCTTTTTCTCTTTTACTTTGTTTTGATTTTTATTCTCTCCTTGACTTTCACTTTTCGTCTGAGGTCCTCCAGGCTTCTGATCTCACTCTCTCATGTAATGCAATGCTGTCAGCCCAAATCCAGAGAGTCTGTTTATCTGTCAACATCTGTAAACCCTTCGGCCTGCCTCTTGCAAGCACAACCGGTCCAACATGATGGAGGACCTCTTTAATTCTTCAGATCCCATTCAATTTGGAAAGATCCTGGCCCAGGGTACCAGCCACTTTGATTATGTCACCCACACAAAAGAATCATGAAGCGCCTTTTAAGTGGGCAGAGAAGGACAGTGCAGCGATGAGACTTGGCTTTGTTTGTTTGTTTGGCTGGTAAGACCCCAACTGGGAACAAGAGTATTTCTGCTGTGGCACACATGCCAGCACAACCCCATGGGGCACCCAGGAATAAAATATTAGAGCAGCCTCAAACTGCTCTACGTTGTGCCAAGAACCCGATGCACTCCAGGACCGAGGCAGACCCAAAATCAGAGGCTGCTAGCTGTCCCAAGTGCTACATTCTGCTGGACTCAGCAAACCAGTCACCGCTCTTATGTGTCCCAGCCCAGCTCAAGGCCTTGACACTTGCTTGTGCGCATCCTTCTGCAAGCACAGGAATTTGGTCTACTTAAACTCGCCACTTCCCTACAGTTATGGTGAGAAACCAGTCCAACCCGTAAGGCCTCTCTGAGCAAAATGGTCTGGAGAAGGGTCGAGAAAGTCTGCCTGTCAGCAAGAGCCTGGGACTTTTCAATTTACTAGGGCTGTTAAGTCAATTCTGTATGTGTGCAGCTCAGTCGTTTCCTGGGTTTATGCCGAAAATTTGCAGAATATCTGCAGCTGATCACACTCATCCCACCTAACTTTCAGGTGGTCTGTTTGCAGAGTCAGGATAACAGCACATATTCAGGTATCATATTCAGGTTTCTTTTGACACTAGCATGTGTAGAATTTACTTCAAATTAAGGATGAAATTATGCAAGAACATAATCCAAACAAGACACAATTTCTGGAACAGCTCCAAGTCCATTCTGGGCTCTTCCCTGGTGAAGAAAACGCATTGTCCAAGGTTTAGCTGAAGGGTATTGAAAAGAGACGGAGGAGGTGGGTTTACAGGCAAGCACTTTGTTCCCCAGAATTTAAAAGATGAGGAGGAACACATTTCTGGGAAGCCTGTTAAAGAGTAATAATAAATTACCAGCTATCAATTTAGGTGATATCTTTAACAAATCAAGCATGATCCACTTCAGAAGAAATCATTTGAGAACCCAGCTGCTCTTTTTGCTCCAGAGTGCCAGGAGTAACATCTAGAGGAAGGATCTTCTATGCTTGTGGACAGCTGCAAACAATGAAATCCACTCCAGGAAGCTGATCACAGGATGGTGGCAGGTAGTGAACAAGAACACTCTAAAATTCTGATTTCTGATAGCTAGTATTGGAAAGGCTGGGAACATCACACGGGTGCCAGGGTGCTAGAATCTCCTTAGCACTCAGTGAAGGAAGATGGCAAGCCAGCACATGTGCCAGAAGGCCCCCCAAGGCCCTGCTGACTCTACTCAGAATAGCAAAGTGGCAACAGTGCACGCATGCACGAGTTGTTCTTGGCTCAAGATGCTCACGCAGCTCTTGTTTGATCTCTGGCTCCAAGGCGCTTGAAGAGGTTGTATGCAGAAGGACCTATCAATCTCCTCCACGCTCATGTCTCAGAGGGATGGCGTGGCTGGAGGTCCAAGGCTGGCTCCCATGTTACAGAGTTCAGAAATGCAAGTAAAAGCCTGCATCTTCATCTCCTCTAGTTTGTCCTCTGAATCTGTATCATTACACCTTTCACAAACCACAGCGGCAGATCTCCTATCTTGATGCAACAAGGAATCTTTGAAACATTTCAGCATTTTGCTAGTTTGCAGGTAGGCAAATGTGAAGTCCATTTTTCCATCGTCAGCCTTCCCCAAGAATCATCCATGCTATCGGGAAAGCCATTTCATGGGAAATACCATGTTCATATGTTCAGTTCAAATGCTTCTGCATTCCCCAATAACTATTGCCTTCTGGAGTCCAGAAACTTTAAAATTACACCACTTCAAAAGCCATCATTTCTTATCTTCAGTCTTATGACTTAGTGATAAAAACACCCAAGGAGAATGAACATTCAGATATCTCCTTAAGCTGTAAGATCAGAAATGACTGTCTTGTGTGGAAGGCACTTGGGTCCCCTGGGTTCCTGTTAACACAGAACTGTCTTTTCTGGCAGATGAATAGTGACAGTGCAGACCTTCAAAGCACCTCATTTTGGTTAACACTTTACTGCCTTTCCATACACACCCATTCAATTCCCATCTGGTTTTAGCAATTGGTATCTTGGGACTCACCAGAAAAGGAAATCATTTTAACATTTGCAAGTAAGGAATTAAGGCTTTCAAATGATATGAAATAATTAGGTCTGTTCCATATGGCACACAAAACCTTAACGGAATCCATCACTGAGCTTCCCCTCTGTTCATCAGCTATCACAGCAGCCTGGTTTGAAGGTAGACTGTTTCTTCGCAAGGCTGGAATTACTTTGGTTAAAAGAGTCTATATCTGCTGAAGACTCTTGATAACTACCACATGTACCCTGCATTAGGAAAAATGGAGCCTTACCACTATAGCTGTGTATGGCAGGGGTTCAGGTAACTGTTGCTGTAATTAGAAATTGGTCCAATTTGAAAAGTCTTGATCTGGATTCAAGCTCTTCCCAAAAGAAATAGCCCTGATATATCTATGCTTTTGGCACTACCACATTGCTTAGAGATAGAGATATTGATTCATAGAGTTCTCCAGGCTGCAAGGGTTGAGCCCTTCCCAGCATGGAAAGACTGAGACTGCTGGGTCTTCCTGGGGCTACACCAGAATAGTGGCTGTGACTTTGAGTCATCATCTGGGGCTTCCCCCAAGTTTCCTATGGGGAACACTGGCAGGATGAACATTGGCACCAAGAAGCCAACAGCCGAGACAAATACCCTAAAGCACAGGTAAAAGGGGTGCTCTTACTTCACACGCATGGAAAATGTGGATGACCACAGCATCTGGTTTCTGTCCTACCCGTCTCTTTTCATGTCTGAAGGGCCAAGCCTGGGAGAACTGGAAGATGCTGTTCACCCCATGTCCTTCCCACCACGGCTGGCCCTGCACTAGAAAGTGAGAGCACAGAAGCTCAGCAGAATGCATTTTGATGTGGTCTTTCCTAATGCTCCCTAACAAAACAAAGAAGCAGTGGGAGAAGGGAGGAGTTGTACTATGTGTGATCCAGCTCACAACCCTTCCAGGAGGGGTGATGGTTCTGTTCAGATGTGTCCTTCAAGGTCTGAGGAGCTGAGGTGTTTAGTGAGCATCACACCATGCAGTGGCAGTAGCACAAGGTTGAAGTCCACAGATGTAAATATCTTTCGCTGTGCATCTCCATGGAGAGGCCTCTGGGCCACACAGGGAGAAAACAGTCAGCTCTGGGCTTCTCCAAGCTGGGCACAGTGATGACTGGATCTCCAGGTGAGCTTGGATCTGGCAGCATCTGCTCAGCTAATGCACACCCAGGGTACCTCCTCATGCTCACTCCACAGGAGCCCGGGGGCAGGTACAGGTGTGCTTTGGGTACCTACATCTCCAGCACTGGCAATCAGACTGCACTCCTCATGCACAGTCCCCGTTGGGCTCAGAGGGTGAGCCGTGAGATGCTATTGGGCTTATCAGCCAGATAGATTTGAACCAGAGGTGAAAAGGTCTCACATCCCATTCCACATCCCTCAGACTATGCAGCCCCACTTTAATATCTCCAAGAAATTTAATTTTAAGGATAATTTAGTATGTCTCCTTGAGGTTTTTTGCAGGTTTAATATTTGAAGGCAAGAAATAAACAACCCACAGCCTGCCACAGAGTGGTGAACAGCCGTGTGCTAAACCTGCTCCTGAGCCCATGAGGTGTAGACAGGAGAGGTAAGAGGGAGGTCTCAGCAAGGGAGGTGGCTGTGCACTGGGGAAAGCCCCCCGGCTCGGAGGGGAGGACATGTCAGTGGGGGATGTGGAGCTGTGACCTAGCTCAGGGAGAGGGACCCAACCTTCCCCGAAGCTGCAGAGGAGAAAGGGAAGAAAGGGAAAGGAAACAGCCAGGACAAATGTATTCTTAGAGTCAGGAAAAGTGAACAGTGGCACTCACACAAAAAAGAAAATATGAACCCTCCTCCCCCACCCCTGCCCCTCTAGTCTCACTTTCTGAACCTGCACAGCTCAAACTGACATTGCCAGGATAATTTCAGAGCTACCCCTCCTCCAACAGTTGTACAGAGGTCTGCTCTCCCCCAGACAACTAATTTTCATAATGACACAAGAACTACACTCACTTACTTGCAAGACAGCTGATTAATCCCCTCGATGTAGTAGCATACCCCACCATTGACACAATAGGACTTGGCTGTTTCGTTGCATTTTCTTGCATGCCCAGACCAGGAGGAGAGAGTTGTGGTTACTGCAGGGGAAAAAAAAAAAAACAAAACACACACAAAAAGGATATATTGTTATTTCCTTTGATGGGCAATTCTATTTTCTTAGATGATTTTCAACTAGTTCATTTGCCAAAGTAAAAACCCCAGAGTTACAAATCTCAGCCTGTGCCTTTAGACCCACCTTCACCTCTCCAGGTTCTGCAATTTGACCTTTCCTTTCCCAGCAAAAGTGGCCAAGTGAATGAGGAGTGGAGGACACGCCTGCCTCTAAGCAACCAGCGTGTCAGGACAAGATCATCTTTTTGTGATAAAAGTGCCCCTTTCTCACCTCTCCTTGCCCTCCCCTTACACATGCATGCAACCCTGCACCAGCAGGCAGGCAGAAGGTTAGGAAGAAGATGTGCTGCAGAGTCATGGTGGCATCCTGCTGAGGCCTGATTTGCATCATGATACTGGACCAAGATCCAGAGATACTGCAGGGAGCATTTCATTGCTCCACGTCTCTGGGGGGAAATAAGTTTTCAGAGCCAGAAGCAAGTGTCCTTATCATCCCTGGAACAGGTCCAGCACAAGGAAAAACAGCTCCATCTCTCCCTTGACTATTTCTGCACATTTCTCTGTCATGCCCCAGCGGGGATGGCTCAAGAGACCAAGCAGAAGTTCAGCAGTAGAAGTCAGTCGGCCCTGGTCTGTGCTAAGAGGGAGGCAGCCAGCATGGCTCAAGTTTCCTGGGATACTGATCCTTTTCCAAATTCAAATTTCTTTCTGGAGAAAAGCTTTCCAGCCATGTAAGGTACAAACAAAACTGACGGTGGTCTGCAGAATTTCACTGCAATTCCTGTCTCTGAATGACTCAAACTTACAGCCCAAACCAGAGAGTCTCCATAGGCAACACAAAGGTGTCTAGGAAGGGAAAACCTTTTGTTAGAGCAACTGATACAGGTTACCAAAGCAGACCAGCTGTTGGGATTGAAAAACCATCTTCACATAGCCAAAAGAAGGGCTGGGCACTCAAAAGCATCTGCTTTTTCCCACTGAATACTTAATCTTATTAAAGATAGTCCTCCTTCCTGGACTATCTGCCTTGCTTATACCCTAACACAGTCACATCTCCAGCAGTGTGGCTACTACCTACTTTACAGCACCTTTTATGCTGTACTTGAGGTTTCTGAGGAGATACCCTCCTCCATCCTGTTTTCCAAAGCATAAACAAACCTCATGGAGAGGTTAGTGACTTCACACCAGCTGCTGAAGACTGAACACCTCATTGACACAGGAGTCGAGGAAGAAGGCCAGAACCAGAGCCCCAGGCAGGAGCTAGTCAGAACCACGGGAGAAGCAGCGAGGCATGCCAGAGCCTGTCCAGAGGGAGCTGGGGCTGGTCCCCACACCCCGAGCAGCCCCCGTGCCCTTCCCGGTCTCGGAGCCTGCCGCGGGTGCCTGCCCTGTGCCTCTGGCTGCAGCCCACACTGCCAGAGCCAAGGTCTCTGTTCTTACGCTCCAGCTCCAGCCCAGTGCCTGTCGGGCACGTCCGGGCTCTCGCAGGTAAAGAAGGGCTCCCAGCATCCTGTGAAGCCTCTCACATTTGGGTGATGCTTGGCGCATGAGCAACCCAACAAGCTCGTTCTGGCTCTGTTACTTTCAGGACTCTCTGGCTGCATGGGTACGTGCCTCCCTGAACGAGGAGTTTGCTCACCAGGCTGTGCACAGCAGGAGTAGCCCACATTGTTACCTGCACACAGCTCAGGGCAGAGCCAGGCTCACTGTTCGTTTTGCTTGAACCAGTGCATTATCCAACCCCATTGTATTCTGTTCCCATAGGGAAGTCAACGCCTTCCACTGTCTGAGAGAGTCAGGGTTGTGCACCAAGCGGAGCTATTTCTATGCTTTGCCTTGAATCACCACTGCCTCTGGGGTTGTCTTTTCACAGCTATCCAGGGCAGAGCAACTTATCCCAAAGTGCTCTGCAAACCAGACACGGCAAATACTTCAGCAAAGACTGAAAATGAACATGGCCCTGGGACAGCAAATAGCTGCTCCCCTCCTCGGGCATGTAATGGCAGCCAGCTGGGAGCCAAATGTGCAGGGCAGTGTACACACACTAGACCGTATGCTGGGGTTTAGAACAGACGATGATTTGACCAAGACACCAAAGAAGTCCTTGCAAAAAACCCTCAAATATGAAAACTTCCAAACTTCTTTTCTGCACTGCCTTCCAGTTAAGATTAAAGGGAACTAGAAGCCAAAGCCATTGTAATGGCTTTTTAAGAAGTCTGTATAATTTACACCTTTATGAGATAGTAGCACATTTCTTCTAAGGCCAGTTGGAGAGCTGTGGGTTCAGGACAGAGGGGCTCTAACTGTGTGTGATAGCACCTGGACTTTCTTTGCAAGGCCTCTCCTTTAGCTACTGCTTGATTCAGCCACTTAAACCAAGCCTTAATGCCAAATGCCATTTTAAAAATGAGCATGAAAATAAAACCTAGCCTGGCAGCACACAGCTGTCTCCCAAAACGCAGTCAGAGACTGTGCACGGGCTTCGCTGTGCACGTGTATGGGAAGCTGCAGGTTGTACACGCTGCCGGGCTAAGTAGGAGCTGCTTGCTGTGCTCCGCAGCTCTCTGCGGGCTGGTCAGGCCGGTCTGGTGCAGACAGAAGCAATAGCAGAGCAAGCAAGGGCCTGCCAGGGAAGTGTGAAAATTGCAGGGGAGCAGGTACACAAAAGACAGCTACTGTCCCTTCGAACAGTCCCCGAGCGCTGCCTGGCCAGCACACAGCATGGGAGCTGCTGAAAGTCCCTCGCAGGGGGGACTTTGGTTTGGAGTGCTTGCAGGCTTTGACTGAAGTACCTTAAAACTGCACGATGAACAGGTCTCTGTTAAAGCTGCAAGCATGCTGTCAGATCAGGGAGCACTAAAACTTCATGAACCAAAGCACTGGTGCAAATTGAAAGGTACATGGACGAAGAACAAGCACAGCCTGCAGGAAGCTGTCACCCCTGCAACCATCAAATGCACCAGTTGCTAGCAAGCAAAATGATCCATCTGGCAAAGTCTCACATCATAAATCCTACAGGAAAGGATTAGGAAGTGAGCCTTCCCATAGTAAGGGAGGACCAGAGAGGGAGAAATAAAAACAGACCCCAGAAACCTCCCCATAGCAAACACCTCAGACAAAAAGGTACCCTTTCCACCAGAAAAGGTGGACAGGAAGTTGCAGTGCTGTGTGATGTTGTGATACCAGAGTGGATTACAGTGCTGATCAGCTAGAGATTGCATAGGATTTTCATCCCATATACACAGTTTAGTTCCTTTTAAACAAATAAAAAAGAGACTGACATGAATGAGGCTTGCATGTCGTGTGCTTCTCGAAAGAGAGCTCTCAACAGTTGTGTCAGTCAGAAAAATACGTGGTTGATCAGTTCTCCTAGAATCATCTTGTTAACATTGATATCTTTTAAATCCTGTTTTCTGCAAGTGCCATGCCTTTTCTCTCAAAGAAGCACAAAGTGTTTTAAAACTGAATCACAGAATCATATTACCATGGTCCATTTGTTAGCAGCAGAGACGTAGCAAAGGCTACAAAAAGAGGCAGTCAGCCCAGTTCCCTGTTGAGAAGACAGTGTCACAAAATACTGGCCAACATAAGAATATAAGCTGAGCAGCGCTGGTCAAACCAAAGCCCTGTCTTATCTCTGACAGCGGCCAGTAGGCAATGCTGAAGAAGATCATCACGAGCATGCAATGGTAATTTTCTTCTGGCCATCTAGGATGAGCAGCTCAGAGACACCCTGTCAGCCGCAGTGTTTTCAATAGCCTTTGATGGATTTCTCTTCTGCGAACATGTCTAGTTGCTGTTTGTACAAATCTAATCTTGTAGCATCCACAATATTGGTGACAAGCGCTCCAGTGTTGTATAAGCAATGTGCAAAGACACATCTTCATTTACTTTTTTAAACCTGCCCCTTCCTGGCTCTTGTATTAGACAAAATAGTGATCATCCCCACTCATTTCCCCTGTGCTACCTGTAACTGTACAGGCACAGGCAGCATCTCCTTCCCTAGCTGGAAAGCAATTATCTCCTTAGTAGCTTCTTATACAGAGGCTAACCTGGCTGCCATCCTTCTTTACGCTGTCTCTGGTTCTGTTTTTCCCTCTGAAGATGGCGAGACCATCCTGCTCACACAATATCTACATCACCCTGGTTTGTTCTCTATTCCAGTCACAGTAATTCCTAATGATAATTTTGAGTTTTGATGTACTGAATACAGACGTTTATGTATTATAACCCTGAAATCTCACTCCTGTATCGTAACATGGAGTCCAGAGCCTCCCAAGGTGCCTGATTGCTCTGGGATGTTGCTGCAGCTGGGCCTTCATGTTCACGAGGGCAGTAGCTGCAACTAGTTTGGGAGCAAGGATGGAGAGACCTGCCAATTTAGACAGAGAGAAGCAAAATGTCTCACTTAGAAAATGTTAATTGTGCCTGGGTTGAAATTTGGCCCTCTTTGACACCATGTGGCTGCAGATCACAGAGAATCACCTTGAAGTATGAGGCCAAGGGGGATAGTGGTTTCCACCCCACTAGCAGGATAATTCCCAGATTCACAAGTGCCTCCATTCAGTTACTTCATGTTTAGCTGTATTCCCCAACAGCCTGAGCCACTGGAAATACCATTACAAATATCTACCTCGTCCTGAGTCATCTGCAGTTTGATGACTGACGTTGGTAAAGTGAGACTCACATTTATTTGCGTGTTCATTCACCTCTGCTCCAAATGCCATTCAGGTATGCCTGGTGATCCAGAAATTACTTCCCACAGCTATTTTGCCTTAACTGCTACATGGTACCAGGCAGATTTTACTCCCTATTGGCTGGTGTGGTAGAGTAAGTCCTTCGTTCAGCCTCCAAAACAGCTCCATCTATCCCAAATGATTTGGAAAACTGTAAAAAGACTGAGATAAATCTGAATAGGCAAGGGAGCAGTTTCGGGTGCTGCAATCTGGGTGGAAAAGGACTCACA